GCCTATATGCAGCAACATAAAACGTCACCCTTAGACACCACTGTCAGAAAGCCCTCATTTCTAGTATATTCAGTCATGTAACAGTCAATGGTCTTCTTAACATGTTGAGTTATAGTATCACGGATAGAGAAAAATACTTCTGGCTAAAGAAAGCGTTTCCACAGCAACTTTCCTTTGTGTTTCTGTGACAGATCACATTTTGTAACATGCAGCATGAACTTACTTGTGTGATTTCTTGGTATTTGCTCCATCAGGTCCCTCTCCACAGTCATAAGCCTGGATGGTGAATGTGTGCTCCTTATGTGCTTCACAATCCACTGGTTCCTTGGCCCGGATCAGCCCCTCACCTGTAGCTTTGTCCAGGATCACAGCTTCAAAAGGTACCCCTGACCCATGAATCCTGAAGCCACAGATTTCACCTGGTACACACAAAAGCAGAGAAGAAGGGGAGAAAGAAAAGGACTGAGGAGAGCACATTATACCCCTTGCTTTCCTTTTCCATATTTTCTTCCTTTCTAACTTGCACTCTCCATTCTTCCTCATTCTCACCCTTCATTTTGAACAATTTGTAGTTCACTAGGAGTTCCTCCTGCTATCCCCTACAGCCATTAATGGTGCAGATTGCCATCTACTGGTTACTACTCCCACGGCAAGGAGTGCTGACCAGCATCACAAAGGATTAGAGGTTACAAGGCTCAAGCTACATGTGTTAGTGCTACACAGCCACAGTCCTGAGGGAGCACCTTATCTCTCCTTTGCAGCCCTCAGTTAGGTAAAACAGGCCATATACTGCAAATAGACAGCCAGAGCATGTAGATCCATGATGTCTCATCCACCCACACATGCAGGAGGCGCAGAGTACCGCAGGGAACTGCAGATAGGGTCACTAAATCCTAAAATTCAGCTCAGAGAGACCACTTTTCCTCTCCCAAAGCTGCAAGAGGATGCGTGACGAAGCTCCAGGCATGGCCTAAGCAAGCATTAGGAATACAACCTCATCTGTTGTAACAGGCATTTGTGCTTATTGTGAGAGGATGTAGCACTGCCAACCAAGTGTGCCCTACCAGCTTTCTCCAGGGCTCACAGACACAGCGCTGTGCATGTGATCTTTGGAAATAGCAGAACTGCGTCAAAAAGTAGCTGACTCCACCCTCAATTTCTCTCCCTAAGGAAACAGCTCACAGCATCCTAAATCAAGCTGTGCCCAAATTGCCTCCAGACTTCACTAGGGACCTCCTTTGGAACAAGGTCTGGAGGTGATCGTTTCCTGGAGAGAGCTAGGATCCAGCACAGGGATGAATGTCACCCTGTCTCTGCCTCTTCATAAGTCTGTCCCTACCTCCCACACTTTCAGAGCTCTTATCCACCTACCTGCATAGCGCAGTGGAGCATCTTTGTCCAGAGCGAATAGCGGTGGGTTGAGCAGGACTGTGTTGTCATTCTCCATGACGATGCCCTGATACTCAGCTTCAATCCAGGGTTTGTGCTTGTTTGCTGAAGTGGATTTGGGGCAAGGGATATAGGACAGGAATGTATTAGCCATCAATGGCAGATGCAGTGGAAAACAAGCAGAATATCATCCAGTGGCAAGTAACAACCACCCCTCCTCACCTTCTTCTACGGAAACAACGAAGTCTAAAATAGGCTGGGAGGAAGAAGTTATCTTTATTTAGTTCTGGTCTTGGGAGACTCATTAGAAACAACGTGTTCCTTCTGGTCTCCTCATTACTATCTTATCAGAAATATGTGGAGAGGCATATGGGTGCCCAGGAAACCTGGAGCAGTTAAAAAAGAAAGTGAACTCCAGAGGCAGAAGTAGCCTGACCCTGGAGACATATTCAAAATGCTAAATCCTTTAGCTCAATGAAGCCATAATTAAAGGATCTAGGCTACATCTTCCCTTGGGGTGTCCCCAAGGGACAAGTCTTGCATGCAGCCATTATCACTTGTGTGTGCATCCTCTAGACTAAGGCCCAGGACCTACACACATATACCCAGGTACACTTCCAGTCAGACATCCTATGCACATAATAACCTCCTCTGAGAGAGCCTTGCTCCTTCCTTCCCCACTCCATGGTGAGCACCATATTCCCTTGGCCCCTCCTTGCTAATCCTGTTGGCTGGAGCCCAGCCAGGCTTGGCATGGAGGCAGCAGCCAGCAGGAGGCTCTGAAAAATGTCACAGGCCCAGAAATAGCAAATTAATCTTTATCACACAGGCTCCGGGGCAGGGAAAGGGAGAAATAAAGGGGGGGGGGGGGGAGGGGGAGGAGAGAGAAAAAAAAATCATTACAAATTAAAAACCCCTCCCCCATGCCCACTCCCTGCCAAATGGGCCTCAGAGATTATATTACATGGCCTAGTTACAACCCCTATTCCCAGATAATCCTCCACTCTCCCACCCCCTGGAGACCAAGATTTATTACAACCCAGCAATACTTTGAGCATAGCATGGCTTAGAGCTGGTGGAGAGTAGGATACAGAGCCATTCCCCTCAAGGGCACTACTTCTAATATGTGAATCCATTCTCTGCAGCACAGTGTCCTCTGAAATGCCGTATTGGCATGGCCTGATGTGTTGGCTCAAGAGGGGTAGTATCCTGAACAACCAAGCACTTTGCACTCTGAGGCCAGGGAATGCTGCCAGAGATGGGTGGTGGGCCAGCAGGCAGGGTGACAGGTCAGAGTGGGGATGCCCCAGCAGGGCAGAGTGGGCAGACCCAGCCTGGCATAGCAGCGAAGAGTGTGAGTTGGCACTTCTCCATCACCGTATTGATTAAGATTATAAAGCATTGCGTAGGAAACCCAGAGAATCATCCATCCTGCTCAGTATGCAGGTGGAATCCTCCCTGTATGCAAGTGCCCACGTCTCCCCCTACCCCTCCATTGTCCCCTCCAGCTTCCATTCTCTACGGCTCTAGTCCATGCGCCACACCACCGAGGTGGAAATCCATAGCTATAAATGCCAAATGTGCCCTGTTGCTGGGGTAACAAGCCGATGGTAGAGAGATAAATCCTTTGCTGCATCCACCTGCAACTTGGGAATCACCAATCTGATTTCTCAGGAAATGAGTTGCTGGAGAATAGAAAAACATTTTGGGAATATTTTTAGGATACAGACTCCTACCAGCTTCAAGAAAGCTCCTGTAAATCTAAAAAAATTTGCCAAAGGTGGGTAGATGTTTCCAAGTGCAAATTCACAAAGCAGAGGGAGAATCCAGAGCACAAGGGGCCTTTCCTTGCCACCGGGCCGCATGGAACCAGAGCAGTACAAATAAATGCCCCTGCCAATGTCAGTGTACACACAGCTCTGCGGTGCATCCGCCCTGTAGCCCTACCTCTTCCAAAGCACAGGAAGCACCCTAAGGTGTCACATTCCCTGATGACCCCTGAGTACCTTAAATGTTTGCAGATTCCCCCACCCTGTCAGATTATTGACGCACTGACTCCCCTTAGATGAATCTCTCATGCCTGTCTCCACAGCCACAGATCTAGAAACCTACACCTTTGTACATCACTATACGTGCTCAAAGAACATCTGCATTCAGAACATTACAGCTGTAGCAGTGGGGTGGTTTCGGTTTTCTTTTATCTTTATCACACAAAATATTCTTTTATATAAGCAACCTGCATTCTTAACACATAACTGTAAAATAATTCCTATTGACAGATTGTAGATGGATGAACTGGGACTGGAAGGTGAGATAGGAGATGTGTTTTAGAGATCGCAGGGGTCTGTGAAGCAACAACATATTCTCTCTCAGCATGCAAGGGAAGAGAAGGGAACGTAAATCCACAAAGCGATAACTAAACAAAAGCAAGACAAGTGGATGGAAAAGGGGAAAATGCGAAGGGAACGCTAGGAGGAGATGAAAGAACGGAGAAAAACGCGGTGGCAGGATGACAGATGGAGAAAGTAGAGAATGGGGATGGCATGGCATGAGGACGCCCGAAGGGGCGAAGAACGCCAAAGCCGCCGGAAGATGCCGAAGATGCCCCAACAAAAACGTCTTGGGCGAAGGTGGCAGGCAGCGCGAAGCCTCACTGCTACCGCGGGGACGGACGGACGAGCTGCGGCCAACGTGCCCCTCCAGAGCCCCGGCGCGGAGCGCCCGCCGCCGCCGCCGCCGCCGCCTGGGACCGTGCCCACGGCGCTCCGCCGCTCACCTTTGTTGGAGGCGCTGCCGGGCAGCGCGGCGCAGAGGCAGAGCAGAGGGAGGAGGACGGCGGCGCGGGGCCGAGGGTCGCCCATCGCGGCGGCGGCGGGTCCCGGCGCGACCCACGCCCTCGCTCCCGCGGCGGCGCGGAGGGACGGCGGCACCCCGGCACCTCCCGCACCGCGCTCCGCGCCCCGCCCGGCCCCGCCCCGCACTGCAGCATGACGTCACGGGCCGGCGGGGGGCGGCAGCCAATGCGCGGGGCCGCCGCGCCAGGTGCTGCGGGATGGGGATGCGGGGCGGGGCGCGGGAGCCGCTCCGCGCCTTCCCACTGCGGTCCGGGCAGGGCGCGGAGAGGGGAGAGGGCTGGGCGCGCCTGCCTGGGAAGGTGGGGGGGCTTCAAAACCGAGGCGGCTGCCAAGGGACGTGCAGGGGTGTGAGGATCGGGGGATGCGGGAGCGAGGGGCTCCAGACCGCATCCAGACCTCGCCGGCCATCCGGAGCCCGGGCTCGGGCTCGGGCTCGGCAAGGCGGACCCGCCAGCCTGCCGCCGCCTCTCCTCGACGGGGTGTCCGGGCGGGGGGGAGCGCAGGCCGGGGCACTGCTCCGAGGAAGCTCGCAGCCACCGGTGTAACGGTGTGCGAAAGGGCCGGTGGGAAGGGTTCCTTGCCGCTAGTTGGAAGCCCAGAGTTTAATACGAGCAGCCCCCGAGGAGGGCGGAGGGTGAGGAGGTGACCTGCCATCCTTACGTCCTGCCCAGCCGAGGCGGAGATGCTGGAGCAGGGGCCGTCCCGGCCCTTTCCGCGCCCCCCGGCGTGGGGACTCTTACTGCGGCGGGGAGCCCGGGAGTCGGGCCGCCTCCCCGCGGGAGAGGGTCCGGGCCGCCCTGCGAGCCAGGACGCTGCCAGCTGCCCGTTTGCCCTGCTCCTTGCGCTCTTTCCTCCGCACCGTCCGCCCCGTCCCTCTGCCCCGGGATGCCTCCCAACCTCACCGGCTATTACCGCTTCGTCTCCCAGGAGAACATGGACAATTACCTGCGGGCTTTAGGTAATGCCACTCTCCCCATCACGCTCCCTCCTCCGCATCACGCTCCCCTCTATCTCCAAAAAGTCAGAAGTTGGGAAGTGGAGGGAGGGATTTGGGAACCCTCTGGTTCTTCTGTCTGTGACCATCACTTTTTAGCTGTGGTAGTAGGGGGAAGGAGGTACCATGGCTGGTGCTCCCTGGCTAAAAGAGTGGAGGAGCTTTGCTGGAGGAAGGTCCCAGGTCGTCCACACATCTCCTCTCCCTCTCGTCCTTCAGATATCAACGTGGTCCTGCGAAAACTGGTTTGCCTACTGAAGCCTGACAAAGAAATCATTCACACGGGAGATCACATGGTCATCCGCACCATCACCTCCCTTAGGGACTATGTGATGGATTTTGACCTGGGAGTCCAGTTTGAGGAAGACTTGGGACCTGTGGATGGACGCAAGTGCCAGGTGAGAAACCCAAGAAGTGCAGTTTCACAGGGGACTGGGATGTGCTAGGAAGTTCAGGGACTTGCTCAGCTTTTGATTCAAAAACCAGATGAGAGCCCAGCCCAGAGCTGGCATGCCCCTGCAGGTCCAGGAATAAGTGATTCTATGAGTAAATTACTCACAGCAAAGGGATGATCACTACAGAGCCAGAAACCCAGTACTTTGGGACCCAGAGGATATTATCCTTTGGAGCAAAGCCCTGAAAAGACAGAATGTCAGCCCACTTGGTGGAACTCTGTTGTTGCACTTGGAAGCCAGAGGGTCATTCACCTCCCATGGAGAGCATCAGTCCCAAGAAGCCACTAAAGAGACACCAGATCAGGGACTGCATTTGAAATTGTGTCTGAGAGGAACAGCCAGTGACATCTCTGGAAACCTGTATTGCCAAGATCCACTTGTCTCTGGACTGTATCTTCTCCTTTCCTCCTTTTTTTCAGACAACTGTCTCCTGGGAGGGGGATCACCTGGTGTGTGAGCAGCTAGGAGAGAAGAGGAACCGAGGCTGGAGGCACTGGCTGGAGGGGGACAAGCTGCATCTGGTGAGGAGGGGTCCAGTGCAACTTGATAAATCCTAATTGCGGTGGGTGGGGGGAACACAATGCGGGTGCTGTGGGCTCTGAGCCAGCCCTGCAGCTTCCTTCCAGCTCCTCTCAGACTTCATCCCCGGCTCCCCAGGGACAGCCACCACTTCACACAAACATCCGCCTCCAGGATTTAAAAATTAAACTCAAAAGTTAAACAGGTCAACAAAGGCAATGTCCCTTCCCTGCCCTGGAGCTGGACCTACTGAGGTTTTGGGAGGGTCGGCTGTGCAGGATCACGTGGCCTGTGAGGCTCCAGCCAGCAGCAGGAGGGCTGGCAGGACTGCAGCGGAGCCAGCTGGGGAGGGAAAGGAGAGGATCTAGCCTAAACTCCTCTTTTACCCCGCTTTCCCCAGCGCATGACTGCTGAAGATGAGATCTGCGTCCAGGTTTTCCAGAAGGTGAAGTGATCGCTCCCCGGAGGGATGCCCGGACGGGACCCTCGCTCCCCAGTATGAAAAAGAAAACGAAACAAGACCCGAGCGAGCTGAGTTCCCCCAGAGCAGTGTGTTTTCTTGTGCCTCGCCCCCCGCCGAGCAGCGGCCGGGCCGGGCCGGGGGTCACGGCGGGGCCGGGCCGGCGGGGAGCGGGAGGCGGGGAGCGGGATGGGCCGGGGCGGGGAGGGCGATGGGCCGCTGGCTGCACGGAGGCTCCTTTCAGAATAAGAGCAGTTGGGGAGGAGCGGCGCAGGGGCTGCCCCACGGCCGGCCCGGCCCCCACGGCTCCAGCGCTCTTCCTGCCGCCCCCGCCGCAGCCGAACCCTGGGTTGCCCCCCAGCTTCCCCGGGGATGCAGGGGTCGGTGCCCGAGTGGGCAAGGGTGGCTCAGGCTGCCCTTTCTTAGGCAGCCACCAACACCTGCTGTCTTCCAGGGGTGCCACATTTTTCTTGGAGTCCCGGCATCATAGAATCATTGAATGGTTTGGGTTGGAAGGGACCTTAAAGATCATTTAGTTCCAACACCCCCACCATGGGCAGGGACATATTCAGGAAGAATTTCAAGGAAGGAGTTGTCAAGCATTGGAAGAGGCTGTCCAGGGAGGTGGTGGAGTCACCATCCCTGGAGGTGTTCAAGAATAGACTGGACATGGCACTTAGTGCCATGATCTAGTTGACAAGGTGGTGATCGGTCAAAGGTTGCACTCAATGATCTTGGAGGTCTTTTCCAACCGAAATGATTCTGTGACACCTTCCACTTAGACAAGGTTGCTTAAAGCCCCCTCCAGCCTGACCTTGAACACTTCCAGGGTAGGGCAGCCACAACTTCTTGAGATCCTCAAGTTGGATGGGTAGAAAACAGCACTTCTCCTTCAGAGTCAGGTATTCTTATTTAATGCTGTGAAATCTGAGGGCTGGAGCAACTACACCGATGTTCACTGCACTCCTGAGAAGGTCCTATGGGTGAGGAAGGCTCAGGCTCTTTTCCTGGGTAAGAAACCATGGCTACCCCTCTAGCCCCAACACTCCCTCTGGCAGTCTTGGTAGCATCTCCCCATGACCATCACAGCTCCCCTGGTTCACAGCTGTCTGGAATCGGAGACCAAGGGGCAAAACCAAAGGAGGTGAAGTACCCTGAAAAAGGCAGAACAGAGACAAAGAGAGAGGTGTCCTTTAATGGTGACACCTCATGGGGTAGGCACGAGCCCACATGCAGTTGTTTCTGAACAATCCATGTGATTATCCCCAACAAAAGATTAAAGGGTGGGGATGCAAAAATGTGTTGCTACTGACACCACAGAGAACCAAGATATTGGCAGATTTTGAAAATACAGATCCTTTTCAAGCTGAGAAAATGCATTTTTTTTTCCTTCAGCAGCTCATTTAAAAATAGTCTTTTCTGAAGAGCTTCTTTTCAGGGAACTGCAAAGTTGAGTGACATGAGAAAAGCATTACTTCAGAACATGTGATAAGCAAAGGGTTGGGGAGCTGCAGCTGTGCCTACAATGTCAACCTCTGGCTCTTCACAGTTGTCTCTGAGGACATATGAGGTGGGAGCACCCTGTCAATATCCACAGGGCAAGAGTACCACAATCAAACCAGTGAGCAACTGTAGCCATCCCATCCAGCATGTCATTTATCTGCTCCGTGCAGACCTCCTCAATCCATCGTTCTATCACAAGGAGTCTCTGCGTGATCTTTGTTGTATCGTGAAGTCGCAAAAGGCAGAGCTTTGACTAACAGCAGCTGAAGCTGGTTCAGCTGTTGCCCTCTTCGCACTCTTCCATACCACAAGAGCCCCTCTGGGCTGCTTCTGATCCCCAATACCAAGCTCACTTCACCATGTCCAGGCTGGTATCTTCCGGACTGTGTGATCAACAAGTAATCAACTCATTTCAGGTCCTGGACCACAAGCTGGAGGCTACATTCTCATTGGATGGCAGACAGCTATTGCCTTCAGGTGATTAGCCAGACTCTTCCCCTGGCCTGCCAACTATTCATGTAATTGTCATGTAAGCCTGTGAGGTGACATGCTGAGTAGATTGCTTCTGACTGATTGCCAGCTATCATATATCCATGACAGCCTCTCTTCTTCAGGAAGCATCTGGTTGTGCCAGAGCCGTAGATAAGAATCATGCACACTTGATGTGGTCCACAGTAATAATAATCACAAGGGATAGTACTCCAACCTATTCTAGAGCTTCAGATAGTAACTACCAGAACTAGTAATTCATTGTTTTTTCTTTTGTAATCATGTTGTAGGTGTGATGCCCAAGTCAGATGGTGACTTTACACAACAGTACTATATTCCTGAGACACGAGCCTGTGGGAAGTGAGGATGCCAGTGCAAGGCAGGGGATGAAGTGTGATATTGGGATGACACTGTCTTTGTTCATGCTCTGTGCTGAGTGGTAATGCTGCAGAACTGTGTACCTCCTGGGGTATTACACTTGGCTTTGTTCCTTGATTTAGAAGACATAGAAGCAGATTACCAAGATGCTGTGGCTGCTCGCCCTCTCGTATCAGGGGAAAGACCCACTCTTAAGAGTCTTTTAAGAACCTTATTTTGATCTAGGTCATCCTCTCCATATCAGCCAGAGCTGCAGGAGTGGCATGATTTGTCTGAGCCATTTGACAGCACAGACCTGGCTGTGTGAAGCCCGAGCCCAATGGCTAGTGGCAGGGTGTCCCGAAATGGCTCAAACCAAGCGTTTGGGTACTTTGGGTAGTCAGCCAAGGGGGTTGAAGGTAGAGTGCCCTGCAAAAGCAACTCAGTGTTTACAGGGAGCCTGGGTCTGTGGCCCTGGTGTGCTGTAGGGTAGGTGGTGTAGCTGTAGGAGGCCAAACAGAGGTATTTCTCTGTCCTCCTTGCTTCAGGTCTGAGGGTAAAGTATCCAACTCTTCTTCTTCTCAGTGGATGAAAGGGTCTGGTCTGCATTTCAGAGGATAATCTCGTTGCTTCTGAGGCTGCAGAGCAGGTTTCTTTCGAATGACTTCCTGCAACACACTGTATTCAAAGCAGGAGTCATGCTCCATGAGAGGATGTTGGCATCTTTGACCATGCTGAAGAGCTACAGTTTCTTTACTTTACTCTGATATTGTCTGGATTTATTGTCCAGACCACTTGTCACCAGCTGAGTCAAGCAGGCTACAAACGGGTAATAGTTTTGGCATTCCATGTTCCTACATGTATTCCGTGGTCCTATGTGAATTCTGCCCTTAAGTACAGAAAAGCACAAACATCCTCCTCCCGAGAAAAATTTGGTACCAGGGTATTTCCTGGCTCCTATCTAACATAAGGACTGCACAGGGCATCTGAAGGGGAATGCCATCAGTGGGAGCACTGGAGCAAGACTGAGGATGCAGCTGTATTGTCTAAATCAGGTGGGTCTATGGGACATGTGTTAGAGGTGGGCTGCTCCGGCGGGGTGTATTCCCGGCTAATCACCCTTGCTTCACCAGCTGAAGTACTCTCTTATTATCACAGATTATGTTGTTGGGGTGGGAGAAGGAAATGAAGATATGGGAGACGTGCCTTGAAAGTGTCACAGGACACTCATAAGATTGTTTGTCAAGGACACAATGAAATTATCAGCTTCCTTACAAATTATCTTCAGGCACCTCTATCCGTCTGTGCTTTGCCAGGGAACAGTCTTGCCACTGGTGACCGGCTCATACCAGATCTCTCAAACAGTAGTTTCCGGTATTTCCTAGCTACTTTCCAGATGTGGTTTCTGAGTAAAAGCTTCCCTTCTCATGGGACAGTAAGCCAGCAGAACCTATTCTGGCATGACACAGCAAAGCAGTGATCCTGGCCAAGTGTGTTCATCGTGCATATTTGGACATCAGAAGTACTGGGATAATGCCCCTCACTGAGTCTTATATCTGATACATGGGGGCATATCGTGTTATTACAGAGGCACTAATTGCATGTTTATGTGATCATTTTCAGATAATAATTCAAAGATATTTGATGAGCAGGTTCTCTAGTACACTTCCATAAATATCCCAAAGATGCTTTCTTCATTCTTTTTAGCACTATTTTCATCTTCATTCCACATGTTTTGTAGCTGTGAATTACTTCCTGTGATTTCAATGCAAGACACTTGCTAACTTCTCTGAAGCCACCCATAATTCTAAGGAAAAACACTAAAATGGTGTTCTATCTCTTACACCAAAAGTCTGAAAGCCAAGAAATTTTGAACTTCATAAAGCTGGGGACACGCAATATATGTCTTGGGCACTACATTGTTAAAAGCCTGAAATGGGTTTGTAAGTAGCTATATTTTCTCATTTCCCCGTTAAATAGAGGGCCTTATCTATCTATCTTGTTTTTCGTAAAAATGCTTGCAGAAGAAACAGCAAGAAGGGTCCTTGAAAAGGGATTTTTTTCTTAGAATGTTTTTAATTCCGTGGACTTTCTCATTTTTCTTAATATTTATTTAACTCAAGTGCCTGAGGTTTTTGCTTTCCTTGAAGAAGATCCCAGTTCCCTTCCCACCCCAAAACAATCTCAGAAGTGCTCTTCAGCAGGCCAGAATTGAGAAAACTTGGGGGGGTTGACGGTTTGATATTTTTTTAAGTTTAAATCAATTTGGGAAGACTATAAGATTTCTGGTCATCTATACCAGAAAACAGCCCAGAAGGATCGGGAGTGGACTTCCTAGGAAGATATTTTCGCGGGGAACAAACTCAGAGCAGCCATTGGATTGCAGATCAAAACCTCGGAGGGGTCTCTAGCAATCGTTTTGCTGCCTCCTCGCCCAGAAAAGGTAGCTCGGCTCTGCGTGGCCAGGCCGGGACAGCCCCGCCGAGGCACCCCCTTGTTCGCGGACCGGGACCCGGCAGCAGAGGGCAGCAGACGCCGGGCGCCGCGGACCTGGTCCGGTGCCAGGCCGTTCGCAGCCCGGCTTTCTATTCCTCGCTCCTGCCTCGCTCCCTCCTCCTCCTCCTCCTCCTCCTCCCCCCGCCCTGCCCGCCCCCCGGCTCCCCGCTGGCTGCCTCTCCGCAGCTCAGGCCGGGCAGGAGCGCACGGAGATGTGAGTGGGGGTCTGTGGAGGGGGA